AGCAGTAATTCCAGAGCTTCGGATTCACCTCGGTCCAGAGTAAGGCTTCCCCCCTCGCACAGCAATCTGAATTCCATACTGAGGGTCACACCTTTTCTTTGAATTCCCAGCTTATGTCGCTATGTGTTTCCACCTTGATACTATTTAGACAGTTTTCTTTTAACGCGCAGACAGTGAACTGTTCTCCTTTAAACAGGCTTTTATTTGACAAGAGTATGTTCGCTCAGATCTGAAGCTCCACTAACCATGCTACAATTCTACCACGTTCTGCTGTAATCAACCCTGTTGTAAATTTGAGCAACGCTATATACACAGACATTGGAAAGAAAAAAGTGCACAGAAAGAGTTCAGGGTCATATAGCTCAGAACATTAAAAAGCAAAACTGTTCTCTGCCTAACATCTAAGGAAAGAGAGCTTTGAATTCCAGCTCGTGAGCACAATTACTTTCTGTTTTAAACATTTAACTGCGTGCTGCCGTATCCTTGCTGAGTCTTAGAATGAAAGCTAGAAAACTAAGAGCCCTACTGTATGTTCTTCCTTCCCAGCAATGGTCCTATGAGAAAACCTTATTAATGAGCTTGCAAACGAGCACCCAACAGGGAAATGCCACAAACAAGAGCAGCTAATGCCCCGGAAAATCAAATAACTGAACACTTGGCTGATCGTGGTGCCTTTCATATTTATAATAAAAAGAAGGGAGGGGCGACTTTAATTCACTAATTCTGAGAGGTCAACACCTTGCTGAACAAAACAACTCACTTATTTATGTTCAGAAATCTCCAGATGATAAATTACATTGACGTTAATCACTTCCATGCATACTACACAATTAATATCTGTACTCACCAAAAACTTAAGGATTATTTAAAGCATGACAGCATACACATCTGGCTGATTTTTCACATAACTGGGCACCACAATTTCTCCTGGTACCACATACAAGTGTCTTAACAAACAAATGCTGCAAAATTCTGTGTTCAATTAATTAGGACTTAAATCCACAGGACAAAAGGGATTCCAAGTTGGAGCTCAAGCCTTGTCCTCTAGACAATATGGTGGCTCTCCGTGTCAAGGGGAGTGTGCAACGCTTCCCTTCATTTTATCCCTCCTCCTTGCTCCTGTCATTTTTAAAGTAAGATATTTAGTGGCATACAACGTAGGTTTTCATTTCCTTTTTAAAAAATAGTATTTTCTAAAAGGACATAATTTATACAGCATTCAAATCCATTATCTGTCATTTTACTCTGTTCTTATCCTGATTAATATCCATTCATCTTAGATGAGGTAGAGAGAAGTTTCCAAAAATCTTCATGTAGCAAAATGGGCCAAGGTTGAACTGAGTATACTTAACAGCAATCCTGTCAGGTAGGATTTGCCTCGAAGGTAGTCTCATTTCCCCAGAGTAGAGTAATTCTTAATCTGAGGTCCATGGACCAGCTCAGGATGTCCTGGTGATAAACTAATGTTTATCACTGATAGTATAAGAAATCTTTTTAGGTGGCAAAGGAAAGGACATTAAAAAATAATAGTTGTAAATTTATTTTAAAGTTTACTACCTAGAATATACATAGCAAATAAAACTCATAATTTTACAGGTGTTTTTACACAGGTCTTGGTTAGGTTAAAGCAATAAAATGACTTAAAAATTCTAAATGTGATACGAACACAGATGACCTGTGGATTTGGTAAAACTTGTGAAAGTGGCCCTTGAATACCTAAAATTAGGAAAACTGTAAATACACCCCTTATACTGGAAGTAAAATGTGGTGAATGTCATCATTTCCAGCTCTATAGCTGTCAAAGGATTTTAAAGGGGTCAACGATCCCTGGAAGTTTAAGAACTGCTGAGTCCAGCGTTTGGGCCAATTAAAAAATAATGGTCTAATGTTACTCCTCACAGAGTATCCAAAATAATTCACCATCCATGCACACTGGGTACTGAATCTCAGGCATTCAAGTATCTCTTCTTTCTTCATGGCCATCAAGAATGTAGATATGTGTATAACTGAGTCACTCTGCTGGACAGCAGAGACTGGCACAACACTGTAAATCAACTATACTTCAAAAAAAAAAAAAGAGAGAGACATGGTGTGGCTTGTCTGCAGCGAGGGGCCTCCTATGGGAGGAATGGAGCTGAACCCCCAACACCACTGGCCAAGGTCTGAGAAAGTTCTAGTGCCCAAAGACTGAGTGCCTTGAGCACCTGAGGCATGAGGCTTTTTGTTGTCCATAGCTGCTGGCGTTCAAGAAGAGTAAAGCTGGTAGGTAATGAAGCAGAGAATTCCAATGTGTCTGAAGATGCTACGTAAGGAATTCCTGGCTGACTCTGCAAATTTTTCAGTAGTGCTCTGGAGAGGGAGGGTAGTGACCTGTCAGGTGACTTTCTTGAGCATGAAGCATCCTATCAAGATGCCAGATCAGACTCTAAACTCCATTCAGATTAACACATTGCTTTGTAATTCTTAACCTTCTTTTATGCAAAAAGACATTTTTCCTATATACATTCCAAGAAATGGAATATCAAAGGATAAAATGTTTATGTGGCTTACGCTGGGTAAAAGAACAGAGTCTCCCATAAAAAGGTGCCATGTTAAAAGTTAAAAATGACCCAGGGATGTGTCTTCAATTTGGGGAAGGCATTAAAGTCACTTTCCTGCAGTTAAGGGCTAGCAGTACTTTGTAAGACTGAAGTCAAATGGATTCAGATATGCAGCTTTATTCCTTTTCTTAGAAGGACAAATCTCACTTGAATCTTCAAAAGAAAAGGCTTTATAAAGATCATTGGCAAGTCTTCCAAGGGGTAGGAGGTGTAGTGCTTGAAATATTTTGCATTTGGGAATGAGTGTAATTTTGTAGGTGGGTGGGGCTATATTCTATTTAGAAGATACTTGGGGAAACTAAGAGTTTAGGGGTGGGAACTGGGTGAACAGCTACTCGGGTCTCACAAAGGAGCTAATGTATTATTAAAGCTAATGGGCCCCTACAAGGAAAGTTAATGGACATTAAGTTTGCTTAAATGAATTACATATTAACAAAGTCACAAGAAATCTACTGTCTGCCAATTTAGATGATATCTGATCTTTTCTGTTTTCCCGTTATAGGGACATTACACCACAATAGTTTTAGTGATATGAAAATTATAAGCATGATGCCCATACTGAAGCTACATAATGAAGTAGATGAAATGAATTAACAAGAAAAACTGGCATTATGTAATGTTAAATTGAGCCAAGCTCCCAAAGTGGACGGGGATGGCTTTGTAGAAGCAACTTTTTATAACCTTCTCCATCCCCTGTTTTGCTCAGGCAACCTAAGCAGGTGATACAAATCACAGGGGGAGTCATGGTGCCCACCCCTGCCACCACCACATACATACCTAATTCCTAACCTCTGGAACCTGTGACTATGGCCTTATTTGGAAAAGGATTCTTTGCAGATGTAATTAAGTTAAGGATATTGAATTGAGACCATTCTGGGTTACCCGGGTGGGCCCTAAGTCCAATGACAAGTGTCCTTATAAGAGACACGCAGAGAAGAGAATAAGGCCAGGTCAAGATGGAGACAGAGAGTGGAGTGATGTGGCCGCAAGCCAAGGAACACCTGGAGCCACCAGAAGCCAGAAAAGGCAAGGAAGGATCCTCTCCCTAGAGCCTTTGGAGGGAATTTGGCCCTGCCGATACCTTGATTTCAGACTTCTGTCCCCTAGAACTGTGAGAGAATAAATGTCTGTTGTTTATTGAGCCATTAAATTTGTGGTAATCTGCTATGGCAGCCCTAGAAAATTAATAGAATAATTCATAGAGAGTAATGCTTTTCCTTTATCTGATGCCCACTCATTGACATCCAATCAAACTCTTGTAACATTTTCACTAGGCACACTCAAATGCCACCTGGAATTTTGCAGAGGTCAAGTTACAGAAGTCTTCTGATAAAAAGTGAGAAGCTGGCTACTCAGCCACAACTTTGGTGCAAGGATAATTTTGTGCAGAAAACAGACACTTTTTCCACAAGTAGGAGAGCCCAGAGGAGAAGATGAGGAGAGCATCTTTAGTCCATAGGGCACAGTGAGGAGAAACCTCACTCACCACCATCCAGCTTTTACTGATGAAGCCGTCAAGACCGCGGCACTCATCCCAAAGAGTTCCACTTTTAAATTCATCGCTATAATTTAAGCTAAAATAGAAGAGAACTTGCAATCTAAAACAAGATGCTGATGTTCAGTGGGAACAAAATCCCTTCTATAAAAAAATTCAGCACTTATGATGGGGTTAATAAAGCTGGGGGTGGGGGGGCGGCTGGAATTACCCTAGATTTTGAAGTTGGCATAGAAATGATTACAGTCAATATTCACAAAATTTAATTAATTAAGTCATGCACTAGAGCAGATGGAATCATTTTCAAGTTTTACATTTGGGTTACATGTAGTATTTTCAAACTCCTCATTGGCACTCTATAATATGGCAGTGTTTCAGTAAAATAATCCTTTGATTATTTTTCTACCAAGACAACAAGATGAAAATTCTACCTAAACTATATAAAAACATATGTATTCAATAAGTGGCTTCTGAAGTGTTTTTAAAAAACTGCTACTCTATACCCTCAGGATAAAATACTTGGGTAATGCTATGGTTTGAGTGTCCCCCCCCGCCCCCGCAAAAACGTATACATTGAAATGCTGATCCCCAATGTGATGGTGTTAGGAGGTGGGGCCTTTGGAAGGTGATTAGGTCAGGAGGGTGAAACCCTCATGACTGGAATTAGTGCCCTTATAAAAGAGGCTGCAAAGAGATCTCTAGCCCCTTCCACCATGTAAGGACACCGTGAGAAGGCGTCAGCCATGAACCAGGAAGAGGGACCTCACTGGAACTTGACCATGCTGGTACCTTGACCTTGGACTTCCCAGCCTCCAGAACCGTGAGCAGTAGATTTCTGTTGTTTGTAAGCCACCAGCCTGTGGTAGTTTGCACAGCAGCCAGAAAGGACTAAGACAGGTACTCACACTGTACTTCTAGATACCGCTGGGTCTGCAAGTTTCCAGTGACGGCAGGGTGCTCCACCTGACAGATCACCGGGACCCCGTCATCCTCCTTGTGCACCTTCAGCATCAGCTGACTAGTCACAGTGTACATGTCTGACCACTCCTCCACCTCCGATTTGCCTGGGGGGACATATCAAGAAACCAGAGCTGAGTGAGTCTCACGCTTTTCTTAAATATCCTCCCCTCCCTCCCTCTGCCCCAGCATTACTATTTTAATAAACATAATGGAAGTCACTCCAGATAAGGGTAATCTGGGGGTAGATAACTGATAAAAGGATAATTTCCTACTTTTCAGCCTTGCAGGATAGTATTTAAGATAAAATCAACTCCACATACTATTTACTATTTTTATTTAAATATATGTTTCTTCTGTCTTAAATTTTCCCACAAAAAAGCAGCTGAAAGTTGACCCATTTTGACATTTGACTGCTCAAGGCACTAGAAAAGGTGAAAAGAGAAGTGCTTTTTTCCCCTACAACCATCTGAACTTAACACATCTACTAGGCTGTCATGCGGTTTAAAAATTCCAGGATGTCATCCAAATCCCTTAAGTAATTTCAATCAGGAGTAAAGATATAAACAACCGCCTTTGCCCACCCCCATCAGCAATTAACAGGGAAAGCAACTACAATTAAATGAAATTGTAACTGAAATGTTTAAACTCTGAGACTTTTGGAAGAACACAAAAAAATGCAGCGGCAGTGGGTAGAGCAAAGTTAAGATATAGGCTTCAGGCCAGAAGGGAGCCACATCCAAGAACACCCAGAAAAGGGGGGGGAGGAGGCTTCCGGATGGGATGAATAGGCCAAGGAGGCCCCTTTCCTGAACTCAGCACTCCCTGGGACATGGCGCACCATTAACTTTCTTTTAATGTTTTGTACTTATTGGTACACATTTAATGGCTCAATTCACTTAGACAGAAAAGCAGAGGGGAAATGAGAAATTCTTTCCTTCCAAAGCCATACCTAGGAAATAGGAGATTAAAACAGAGCAAGCTTTTTGAAACTTAAGCCATTATATATAGATTTTTCTGTTTCTAGATATAGATTTTTATATCCTCTTTCTAAAAGGACTTTCTTTTCTTCCTGGAACTATTTATTTATTTAACAAGCACATACAGAGCACTTACCTTGGCCCAGACACTAGCCCCATGCTTTACAAATATTCACTCATTTCATCTTCATAAGAATCACACAAGGTATGTAAATATTAATATCCCCATTTTAGAGGAAATTGAGGCACACAGCAAGCATTTCTGTCAAATGATCAGAGGAGTTCAGGCCCTGAGTCCTCCGTCCTGGGTACTACTTGCAAGGCAACCTTTTGCAAAGAAAGGAATCGGAATGCAGACATGCATGAGGAATTTAGGATAACTGGCAAAAAGAGAGTCAAGAATAGGGGCTAGGCTGTATCCTTCAGCCGATGCAGTGGCTAAGAGGGCAGGTGTCCGAGGATCCAGGAATCAAATCTGGATGGCCCAGTACTGAGGGAGAGACAATAGGAGCAGGGTTAAAAAAGTTGCCTGTGCTGCCAGCACAAAGTCAGAAACGTTGCAGAAGAATAGGCTGCTGACACGGGCAGCTGAATCACAGATTTCTCAAGAAGGGTGTTGCCTGCAAGTTCGCTGTGAAGATAGATTCTCAGCTGCTTAGCACAAGCACCCTTGCAGGAAAGCACATTGTCAAAACAACCGATAGTCCAATAGATGTTAGAATGACTTGGTATTCACCATGGCCAAGACTGCTATACATTTTTTTCAAGTTGTAACACAAGAACCTGGGGTCCTGACCCACCCTGGGTCACAGGGTAAAAGCAAGGAGAACTAAGGGTACAGACAAGGCCAGCCTGAGTTCAGGGGATACCTCAGCGACTCTAACTGGTCTAGCGAGTTCTAGTTTACAGGTCTGGTTCTTTCTGAGCCTCTGAGTAAACATCTAGCAGCACATATCACCATGAACCCTCAAACAACAGAATGAGGATATGAATTAGAACAGTAAAATGCCGTTATGCTTTGGGCTCAGACACACTTACTAACTGATTGCAAACCATATGTTAGGTTGGCCAAAAAGATCGTTCGGTTAAGAACTACATTGTTTGATAAAGTTCTTGGTGAAAATGAAAAATGTGTCTTTCATTTTTGCTTATAACAGAACGGACTTTTTGGCCAACCCAATAAAAATGAGCATTTTTGTTCAGGGGTGTGTTTTGCACTTGTCTTTAACGTCTACAAAGATGTACTCCTGCTGGGATCGAGTGTGGACTGGCTTCCTCAGTACCAGGCAATTCGCATCTTACCTTTGAGCTCCTTGTTCCCTTTGAACCACCTGATGGTCGTGGCTGGTTTGCTGGCCATGGCAGTGCAGTTGACTTCAATCTCCTCACCTTCCACCGCAGTGTCTTTCTGGATATCGATCATCAGATTACGTGGTGGGACTACAAATTAAACATGTGTGCTTTTTAAACACAGAATCTATTTCTGGGCATATTCTTCTATTCATTAGAAACTAGGACCATTGCTCTCAAAAAAAAGGAGATAAACAATAGACATTCCTGATGGGAATTTAAAACAAACTGCCACTGGAGGAAACAGAAGAAAGGCAAAGTCATTATCAAATAAAGCGAGTTACGTAAAATCCTTTACTTTAGAATTCGTCCTAAAGTTATCTGATAAAATGACCAGTCTTCCACTCCTAAGTTATCAGTGACCAAGTTATAAAAATATAGATACTAGATTTGCTATCAATCGGTCATTAGAAAATTGACCAGAAAGCAGATATAAAAGCAAGAGGAGTAAACACTATTGACATTATCCTCCTTACCTGGAAGTCTCTGAGAGGAATATCTGTCCTTAAACTCAACCCTTGGATTTCAATCTTCATATGAAAGATTCCAAAGTCAACCAGCAAAGATCAAAAACATGGAGTCCCGTAAAAGGATCACTCCCCATAAACATACACAGAAAAACTGTGCCTCAGAGCCACTTCCATTCAATTCAAATTATTTATAGAGATCTAGAATATGATCTTGACCTCTGATGGATGGCGTAGTAATAAAATCCTTTAGCTATGAAGATGTAGTAATGTAGGAAATGCCAGTTAATTTGTAATGATTTTCTATATTCTGAAATCTAAAGCTGCAAATTTTAGAAACCAAAGGTGGAAAAGACTATTGAGTGTAGGTTAGATTTCTACCTCAGAATTAAAACCACTCTTCTCTAAGCATATTAAACATATATGTAATAAAACGATTAGAATAAAATATTTGGGGGCTAAAATGCTGAATATCAAATAAAGAGTAATGATGGTGGTTGATAAAGAAAGCATGTTATCTTTTCAGAGACTGAGTTGACAATGAAACCATATAAGTGCAACCTTATGTCAAGACTGAGCTTCTTGAAATAAAAATCAATAAGAATACTGAATTCAGCAGACTGAATCTAAAAATATATGTCCTGACCACCCTGAATAAGCAAAGATGGTTCTAAGACTTATGATTAATAAGTTTCTCAACTCAGAAGAGAAACAAGAAATTAAATATGTATAAACATGCCATCCTGATGATCAAGTTGAATAATAAATCTCTGATAACTGCGTCAATAAATTATGGGATTAAACCACGTATTTGAGATTTCCAACTGTTCTAGTCCAATGTGAAAATTCTACCCACAGGAAGACTTTTACACTGAATTGAAGCAGTTGAAAATTTCTATAGAGAATTATGGAAAAGGAAAAGGAAAATGATTTGTTGTATATGTTTCTCAGCAAGATAGTTGGTAGGCGGAGTGTAGCTATTAGAGCAAAAAGCAGGCCTCTTCTTTGTTCCCTGTATAACAGGAAACTAACACAGTTGCTCAACTGGACGTGTTGCTAAAGTGATGTGGCCCCAATGAGTAGTTAAACATGGCAAAGAACTACCCTAGTTTACATTTTAAGAAAAAATAAGCAGAAAGAGAGATGGTCTAACACCCAATTTGGAGTTGCACATCTGCCAACATTTTAAGAGACAGAAAGGCTGGTATAAAAGTAAATGGGGGCTTCCCTGGTGGCGCAGTGGTTGGGAGTCCGCCTGCCGATGCAGGGGACGCGGGTTCGTGCCCCGGTCTGGGAGGATCCCACATGCCGCGGAGCGGCTGGGCCAGTGGGCCATGGCCGCTGGGCCTGCGCGTCTGGAGCCTGTGCTCCGCAGCGGAGAGGCCACAACAGTGAGAGGCCCGCATACCGCAAAAAAAAAAAAAAAAAAAAAAAAAGTCAGGCAATAGCAAGTGGTACGTATAAATTAGGCCAGAGGACAATTTACCAATGTCTCTTAGATTTTGTTTGGGGGTTGAGAGTGTGAATGGCAGCAAATAGGTCCTTATCTAGATTACCTGTGGCTTGGTTTTATCCATGTTAATACCTCCTCTACTGCAGCAGATATAATATACACTTCCCTAATCCTTCCCAGTGATTCCTGCACTAATGCTAGCTCCTCCTGCAGAGCTGACATCACCTGTAACTTGACAGCCAAGGTAGACATGTGGAAAACTTCAAAAGTGGTGGAAAATATGACCAGTGTAGAAAAATAAAGGACTTGTTTATTGTTGAGAAGAACAACCTGAGAAATGGCTGAATGACTTTTTCCAAGTCCATAAACAGTTTTCTCAAGACTGTGACCAGTATTACTGATCTTTATGAAGTTTATAAGAAGAAAGAGTCAAATGTAGTAGGAGTTGTTTGGTTTACAAATATAAAATAAAATGTGAGTCATAATGGTTCACTGATATCAGTTATAAAGTTAACTTCTCTCAGATTTTTTTTTAAAGCAAGAAAGCTTTAGAAAATATAAATGAAGTGATTTAAGTCTATCTTTCTGAAAAAAGGGGGGGGTAGGACAAGAAAATCTTAAAGTTTATTTTGGTCTATTCATTCTCCCGTTTTTCCCTTTAACTTCATCATGTCTACTCAAATACAAAAGCAGTTAGTAAGGTATCAAAATCCATTTATAAGAAAAAAATGAATTGGAACTGCTACTAACCAGAGAATACACTTATACATGGTCCACTAAACAGACATATTTAGTGAAAACTGCCTGCAGCCATTAATGAAAATAACCAAAGATATATCTTAAGGAGGTGCATAGAGATGGAAACCTGAATAAAAGTCACGTAGAGGGAAATACTAGAAAATAGCAAAGAAATGTTGACGTTCTTCTTAGCTAACTTCACATCTATAAGAGTGCTAATTATAAACATTACACCTACAACATTAAAAAAAATCAGCTATATCAAGATGAGTCACGTTAATTACAACAAAAGAGGAGGCTTAAAGCTGATCAGTATGTGGAATCTCACCCTAAGACCCTTTAAAATAATTAGGTTCTCCTGCTCCTGGAATCTTGAGCGAACACTAATCTTAGAAGGACAGGACTGTAATAATATTAGCTACTATTATCAGTAACTATACTAATGTTAAAGCAGCATATTCTCTCTCTCACTCATCTCCTCTCACGAACAGTTGTAGGATCTGGAGAAAGAAACAAACTCATCACAAGCGGGAGAAGTGAATGAATATCCTAAAAGGCACCCAAATGCATGCAAAATATCACAGGGGAGTTTTCAGTTTTTACATGGATAAGATAATAAACAGAATAGTAACTAACAAATACCCATCTCTATGTCTTATAATTATGCTGAAATTTTTGCTGAATGCTTCAAACAACTAATAAAGATGCGTGCACTAAAATGAGCATCTTCATCCGATCAGGAAGTTTGACAGCTGTGTAAAGTACATATGGGGTCCTTTTCAGAGAACCACAGATAGAAACGAAGACGATGCTAATAGATCATTCTTCATTCATTATGATACCTGAAAACTCTAAACGTTAGGAGGAAGCTTTGAATATATGAGTATCAGTGGAAACTGTCAGATTTTGGAATATGAAAGACTCAAGCGCCGATGACAATAATTTGACTCCGACAAGGAATCCTAGAATAAATTCAGTGGAAGGAATATTAAATGAATGCATAATATCTGCAAAAAGAGCATCTACCAGCATTACTTTCAAGTATATTTAAGTTAATGTTTCTATACAATACAAGCAAGGAACCTATTATTTCTAGAATAATCAGACCTCCAAAAGGATTATAGGCATAATGCTTCTCAAAAGCCTAGTGCTGGGTGTATTCCGTCCAACTGGCCCAGTCTAGCGGGTCTGAGAACAAATGTACCAAACACTGAAAACTGACAGGCAGTAACTGCTTGTCAAAGACCAGATACACTCCTGCAAACAAAAGATGTGCACCTTCAGGGAGAAAATCTTGAAACAGCAGCCTTCAGGATTTTGTTGAAAACAACCTAGACTAGAAGACCCAGAGGTCCTGAGGCAGAAGAGTAAGGTCTGTTTCGAAGTCTAAGATTCTTGATTCTCACCATGTGCTTTGTAAGCTGGGCAAGACGACTAACCTCTATTATTATCATCTCTTTCTTTGAAATAAAGACATTCATACTTAAAGGTATGTGTAGCAAAACATTCTGAAGATGCAAACTGCCGTTAAGTATATTCCATCTAATTGCCGTCACTTTCGTGGACACACCATAAACAATGGTGGGTCAATGGGAAGATGGCCTATTTGAAGTTTATGCAGCTGATGACTTACTCCGAAAAACAAACAGTGTTTCAAAGACCTCTCCAGAAAACTTTCGGTACATCTGCCAAATTCCAAAACGGTCATCCTAGCCAAACCTTCCACACTTACTATTTCTGCAGATCTAATAGGGATCAAAGGCGCAATTAGAGACAAACACGTACACATCACCAAACACAGACCACAGCAGAAGCAACATGGCCAGACATGAAACCTGACTAAAATCAGTGTTCCTCTTATCAATAACATATATGTCAGCATTAGGGATATGTTTTTAGTTTAATGAATTAAAAAAATGTTCCCTATTACAGCTGTGTTTAAATAAAGTAATGAGGCAGCAGATCAATACATACACCCATGAATACATATATGTTCACACACACTAAGCAAAAACATCCTTCCTATTTATCTTTCCCCTTTAATCTTCATATCGTTACACTGAAAAGCTGCAGTCTGCCGCCTCAGATAGGCTTTGATTCATCATCTTTCCGAAGGTGTAAATCAGAGATCTTGCCTCACGCTACAGTGTAGGTCCTTGAAAACTCAGTTCCAAAAATCCAAATTGGCTGGTGTTAGGCACTGTAGTATATGTTTGTCTAAAAGGTGACTAGTTCAGGGGGGCTTCCCTGGTGGCGCAGTGGTTGAGAGTCCGCCTGCCGATGCAGGGGACACGGGTTCGTGCCCTGGTCCGGGAAGATCCCACATGCCGCGGAGCGGCTGGGCCCGTGAGCCATGGCCGCTGAGCCTGCACGTCCGGAGCCTGTGCTCCGCAATGGGAGAGGCCACAACAGTGAGAGGCCCGCGTACCCAAAAAAAAAAAAAAAAAAAACAGGTGACTAGTTCAGACCACCTTCACCACAGGAGTATCTGCTGACTCTACCAAAACATACACGTGGAAACCTGGCTACCGGGATTCTGCTGAAAGTCGCAATTCTGCTGAAAGTCGCAATACGTGAAGATACTTAACCCGCTAGAGGTAGAGGTGTACTCAGCAGCCAATCCACGGTCCTTGCTTATTATCAGCCTTCTCTCCCTAGAAGCTCTTCATTCTTTTACATCTAATGGTTGCAATTTGTGGCAAAGTATGTGTTCATGGGGTATGATTTTTACAGCATAATACTGAGTGGGAGCAATAAATGAGGCAATGAGTCAAGCCGAAGAAAAGGAGATCAACAATATTAAACGAGATGTAACTCAAGGAAAAATCATTAAGTGGATTTCATATCAGAGTTCTGCCACAGGGTGCAGATGTGGTAGCCTGTTTCCCCCTCTACTGCACAGAAGGGGGGAAAAAAAGTCCTGGTAGGTAAAAGCAATGACATTACATGTGGTGAGTGATTCATTTGAGGGCTCTAAATTCTCTTGATCTTTGCTTCTGAAGCTTGAGGGTTGAAACCCAAGAGCAGGTGAAATCTAGAGAGCCTGCTGATTGCCATTCCTTAGAGTGTTTGGTAAAAGAGGCTATTTTTAAAATTCAGCAAGATGGGTGGTGAGTCTTCCTAAAACAGTAAAATTTACCGTTAACCTTTTCCTAGCTGCTGGAAGCCATCTGGCAGTAAGTGCCACCCCCTCGTTTCCCAGGACAAGCCCTGGTGCATTGCTTACCCAGGACTGTGATCGTGGTGTAACTTTCCTGAGGGGGGTCAGTGTAGAGCTGGCAAAAATATCTTCCTTCATCAGAAATTGAGACATTTGTCAACGACACTTTGAGTTCACTGCTTGAAAAATTCAGCAGCTGGAACCTGCTGTCCTTTAAAGCTGGAAAACAAAACACAGAGTTAGTGTTGTGAGAAAGACGACAGTCTATTTGCCTTCTCGAGGGGAGGCAAAAGGCAGGTGACTAGAAAGGCAGCTACAGAGCAGACACACGGATTAAGTCTTTCTGCACCTGGTGGGTACTTCTTTGTGCTTCTTGAGTTCCTAGTTAGGGCTTCTGCAATAACTGCTTGTAGACACATATATATCCCTGCCCCAAAAGGAAACTCACACACATGGGTGTGTGTGTCTGTGTACACACGCATATCCCTTGCTGTCAGTTTTGAGCAGTTATTCATAAATTGTTTTGGATCTTCTATCGGAGACAGGCAGAATGAGAACAGGAGGAAAGGGCAGGCCATGAGCCCCCTTTGGCACTGAAATTTCAGGGAGTAGAACCTACAGGCTTTTAAATTGTCTCTAAAAATCTGAGGCCTTAAAAGAAATAGAGGTTCTAATATTATGAGAGAAAATTTTAAAAAAGCATTATTAGTAATTGAAAAAGCAAAATGAAAATCATTAAAAAAAAAACTTTATAGCAAAACAATCCAATTTAACTCTGATGCATCTTTGTGTTTCGGGTGGTTTGAGGTGGCACTGCCAAAAGTCCATGGCCTGGGGCCTACAGGGGCCTTAAGACCTGACCCCATTTTCTAACTGCATTCAGCTCCATGGGGATGAAACTGATTAGGCATAAAGTAGGAAGTCAGAGTCATCCCAAAAGTAATGTATGCGGGCTTTTTATTGATTTCTAACATTCACTTTTAAAATCCTTATATTAATTTGGCAAAGGCTAGATCAGTATATACTAATGACAAAAATTCAGTCTAACAATGAGAAGCTGGCTTCTCTCCTTTTACCCTCCATAGTCCTCTTAATGTTCCTTATGTTCATAACTCTTGCCACAGGTCATGAATGTTCTGAGGTGTTGGGGAGGATGGGGACAAGTGGGCAGGAGGCGACATGCCTGACACCTACTTTGTTAGGCACCAATGCTCTCAAATCGCAATTTTTCGAAAGACCTGATTCTTGCTCTTGCCAAACCCTGACACCCATTTGAACCATTGTTATGATATACAATTAAGTTTCGATTACTGGCTTTTGTGATCTTACATTTGGAAGGATTTCAGCACATGGGCACCTCCATCTACCACAGGCTATGATGACAGGAGATTTGGTTTTGTCTTTATAGGCACAGATTGCCTAGGAAAATTCAGTCTTCAAACCAAACAGACTACCTTTGAGAATGCTATATTTTCCTTGCTTTACCCTATTTGAGTTGTTTGTGTCAGCTAAGTATTTGGGACTCAACAGCAATTCACCTTGAATTACTACAATCAATTCCTATTGCAAAGGAAGACTGTCTTACTTTTAAAAAAGGTTTCTATTAAGTAAGAAGATTATGATTGCATGTCTCTTCTTTCCTCTGAAGAACTGATTAAACTTTAAGCATCTAACATTAAATTAAAAAAAAAAAAGAAAAAAAAGGAGGCCTTGGCAATCTCTTTATCAAGACAACGTGTAGGAAAAAAAGTTGCCATCTAATGCTATAGAGATGGAAACTTACGCCGGAAGTCCCTGAAATAAATGGTCTGTCTGTTGGGATTCAGTAGCTGGATAACAGAGTCGTCACTCTTATTGACCTGGCAGCTGATGGTTGCAACTTCTCCCTCGATCACTGTCACATCTTTCGTAAACAAATTCTGTCCATCACCTTTAGAAAAAGGAGGAAAAAATTCCATAAATTAAAATTTGGTTGATAGGATCAATTAAAACGAGAAACAAGAAGTGAATTAGAAAATAGACACAATGGGAATTCCCTGACGGTCCAGTGGTTAGGACTCGGAGCTTTCACTGCCAAGGGAGCGGGTTCACGCCCTGGTCGGGGAACTAACATCCCACAAGCTGTGCGGCCAAAAAAGAAAATAGACAGGAGCAGCCACATTTGGTAAGGCTCACACACCTTTCTCCAATAGTCCACAAAACGAGTCTATTAAGCTGAGCTAGATCTAGGGGCAAAATACAACCAAGCCTGGAATCAACGTGCTGTCAGAAGTTGTGATGTCCACGCTCCAGCCTCCAGTGTTTTTACTAGCCAAGTAGTATGCTGGAGAGGTATGGAAAGGTAAGAGTATTGGCCGTCATGAGGAACAGCAGCTCCCACAAACGGAGTAGGGGAAATACGTATACGTCAGCCTTCCTTATCTGTGGGTTCGGCATCCGCAGATTCAACCAACCACAGATGGAAAATACTAAAAAAAAAAAAGAATTCCAGAATGTTCCCCAAAGCAAAACTTGAATTTGACGACAGCAACTATTTACATAGTGCTTACATTGTTTTTACCACTATTTACATAACATTTACATTGTATTGGGTATTATAAGTAATCTAGAGATGACTTAAAGTATACATTTTTCTTTCTTTCTTTTTTTTTTTTTTTTGGTACGCGGGCCTCTCACTGTCGTGGCTTCTCCCATTGCGGAGCACAGGCTCCGGATGCGCAGGCTCAGCGGCCGTGGCTCATGGGCCCAGCCGCTCCGCGGCATGTGGGATCTTCCCGGACCGGGACACGAACCCGTGTCCCCTGCATCGGCAGGCGGACTCTCAACCACTGTGCCACCAAGGAAGCCCTAAAGTATACATTTTATAGAAAGGACTTGAGCATCCTGAGGTTTTTGGTGTCCGTGGGGGTCCTGGAACCAATCCCCCATGGATACCAAGGAATGACTGTACTGAACCTCAGCTCAAATGCCCTTGAGCTATTTGGTCACCTCACAGAAAACTCAAGGGGTCACTTAATAGAAGTAGGTGGGAGGGCTCAGTAAACAATCTCACTTTGTTAGTGGATGTCAAGATTCCCAAAGTATAGGCAGTTCCGTTATTTATTGCGTAGGGGTGGGGACCTGACTATGACCCTTTTGAAACTCAGTAAAATCCTGGGAAGCTTACAGTTCACTTTATTACTGTGTTCTCAAAAACCACATCTTCATGACTCACCCAAAGCTCCAGGCAGTCTTGAACCACGCCCCTTCTACAGACTACCCCCTTCCAGCCATTTAGAAAATCTCTTACAGAACATGTCAAAAAGTCTAGGCTTTCAGATCCACTGATATCTGGATTATCTCCAGATCTGCTCTACTTTGTTGCTTCTAGGATAAGTGACAGTAACCAGGGCCCCTCATAAATGTCCTAAACGATCCACAGCACAGGTAGGAGGAGAGGAGACTTCAAAAGCAAAAGATGAAATAATTGTTGAATGTCCAATTCCGCACCAGGCATAGCAAGGGATTTAGCAGTATAAGACACTGTCCTAGCCTCTAAGAAGCTGCAACGTTGGCGAAAACTGATCCCTAATTCCCACTTACGGAACAAAAAGTATAATATAGGCAATAGGTACAATGGTCAATCAGGGAGGGGACAAGTGAGATTGCTTTTTAGCTGTAAGATTTTAGGCAAACTATTTAAAGTCCCTGAGACAATGTCTCATCTGTAAAGTGGGGATAGTAATTAAAAGCTATCTCACAGAGCTGTTGGGAGGATTAAGAAAGATAATCAGGGACTTCCCTGGTGGCACAGTGGTTAAGAATCCACTTGCCAATGAAGGGGACATGAGTTCGAACCCTGATCCGGAAAGATCCCACATGCTGCGGAGCAACTAAGCCTGTGCGCCACAACTACTGAGCCTGCGCTCTAGAGCCCGTGCTCCGCAACGAAGAGCAGCCCCCGCTCACCACAACTAGAGAAAGCTCGCGCATCAACGAAGACCCAACGCAGCCAAAAATAAATACATAAATAAACAAATTTAAAGAAAAAAAAAAGAAAGATAATCAGTGTAAAGCATTTAGCACTGTGGCTACCTTTTGTAAAACTGAATAAATGGTAGCTGCTATCATCATCACCACCATCACTTCTCTAGATGTCAAATCCCAACTAAGCAACTGTACGTGTTGCCAGTAGTGTGGATACAAGAATGAAAGCTCACGGTCCCTGCTCTCAAGGAGCTCTCTATGTAATTATATATCAACTCAGGGTGGCTTATTCACTCTCTAAAAAAAACCTGTCACATTAAGAAACAAAGGTCAAAGATAAGTACTATTCTAAAAAAAAAAAAATGAGACCGCATAAATAGAGACGCAATTTGAGTAAATGGAGGATTTCCACCTGCTCTCATATTTCTGCTGAAGGATTCTTTTTTGGCAGGACACAGTGGGGAAGTGTGAGAAGGGACGTCTAAGATGGCTTTAAGCCAAATCCACCTAGAAATAGACCAGCCTACGGGAGAGGATTAGAAAAGAGGCAACTAGAGGGATAAGGAAAAAATGATTAGAGCCACAGATAAACAAAAATTCTTGATGCTTGAGGAGCAGAGCAAAAGGAAACCCAACCTTGAGACCTCTGATCCAGGGAAGTAACCTGGGTGTGAGAACGAGGCCCATAGGGCTTGTAGCAAGTGAAAAGGTAAATCTTCCCTAGCTTGATCTAGCAGTGAAAGCTTAGTGGGCTGAAGAGTGTTAGAGAATAATATCAAAGAGGAAGAGTGATCAGAGGAGACGAAGTCATGCTTATTTTTTCCTCAGTGGGTCACCGTGACAAACACAGAATTCAGAACCAAGCTGGAGGGAGCAGTTTATTCCCAGATCTGAGACTAAAACAAGGGAAAGGGAATTCCTGCCAATTGAGCAAGCTTTTCAAGGTGGTTTTGCTGGCCCTGGCGGCGAGGTCTGTACAGAAAGGACAATATACCCTATTTCCTCAGGGTAACCCAATCTAGTAAGGGAACATTAAACCGCATGATTCAAATGCTATTCTGTCTCGAAACATGGGACTTGCCTTGAGGAGGTTAGACTATCAAACCAGTCTACTGGATTGCGGAGGAGATTTCTTCTACCTAAAGGAAGTTTATTAGCAACACAAATAAGGATCTTCAGCTTATAAAAGGAACACAAGGAAAGGCTACCCAGTGAAAGGCCTTAATCCCTTTGGCCTTATAGATCCTGACTACCATCTTGCAGATGCTGGGACTTAAAGCCAAGTGCAATTCAATTAAGCTCTAATAGAATAGTTTCTGTGGAAATAACCATCCACTCTAATTTTAGTCTTTACTCAGAACCCTAGTATATTCTGTCTATATTCGTATTAAGGCCATAAAACATTTGCAAAGGAGACAGGAGCAGAGGAGTTGACTGTGGTTTTGTATTTAAAGCAAGGAAAGTAATAAAACAGAACCAGAGGGGTTTTTTTGTTTGTACGTTTCTTAAAAAGTCTAAACATTCTTGTTTATTACTAATAATTAAATAACAGAAGACCAGACCCCTTTAATGTGTCATTACTGAATAACTCATTCAGGTAAAACTTTTGCCATCTGCAAATGTTTGCCCTCGCTGTGCTCTGGCACATAACAGGCTCTGCAAATCCATGGTGGTATCATCATCACTACTGTATTATTTTTTGAAATTGCTAAGGCCAACCTAAAATCCACTGTCTCAGAAAATGACAATTCCTAGCTATGTTAACACGGTTACAGTACAAATGCTAAAAAATTGTAAGTGTTGAAAGATATCAAAGTGCCTTGACTGATGGTGGTGGCCCAAGGATGTCACTCTGTAAAAGCCACCAATAAATTATATGGGTCAGCTGGACAGTAGTTATATTACACAGAGCTCCATGCTTGGAGCGTCATAAGATGGCCGCAATGGAATAATAATGACCCATTTAGTTGAGGCAAAGGAAGCGAACGACAGTGATGAAAATATGATATGTATGTCAGTACTCCTAACCGCCTGAAGCCTTTATGTAAAAATAATTTCTGCTCACGTCCGCAACTATTTCTTCCAAACAGAAGGGTGCACTGTGACTGGATAAATTTCCCCTTGAAACAGATATCATGACAATTAGGTTGTTACAAAACACAATTTGCTGTGTAGCAGAAGGCTACAAACAGGTAACTTTGGTGCCTTTCTTAAATAATCCATTTAAAAAG